CCTGTATTCATTACCACCCTCTTCATATCATACTGCTCCAACCCTTCCTACAACTAGGGAAAGATTCATCTCCCTAACAGTTCTTTCTTCCTAAACCACAGGCTTAATCATTTCACCCTAATAACTCATAAGTCTGCAAATGGCAATTCAATAACAAATAAAGCACAAATTATTCACCATGGCATTGAAAGGCCATGATGAGAGGCTCCAGCCTCCCTTCCAGCCAAATCAGACTATATGTAACTCTACAAATACTACCTCTTGTTTCACCATGTCTTCTCACAATACATTCATCGTTCAATTTCTCCTTTCAAAACACTATTATATGTTGAGTTCCAAGGAAAAGTATACTTGCATAAAGCCATTTTTAATCCACTTTAACTGAATACATGACCTCCCTCTGATATGGTTTGGCTCTGTATCCTCACCCAATCTCATGTTGAACTGTTACTCCCAGTGTTGGGGGAGGACCTGGTGGGAAGCGACTGAATCACAGAGGCAAATTTCCCCTTGCTATTCTTGTGATAGTAAATTCCCACAAGATCTGATGGCTTAAAAGTGTGCGGCACTTCCCCCTTCCCACTCTCTCTCCTGTTACCATGTGAAGATGTTATTGCTTCCCTGTTGCCTTCTGCCATGATTGTAAGTTTTCTGAGGCCTCTCCACTCATGCCTCCTGTATAGCCTAAAGAACTGTGAGTCAATTAAACCTCTTTTCTTCATAAATTACCCAATCGGATAGTTCTTTGTAGCAGTGTGAGAATAGGGTAATACAAAAAACCAGTACCAGAGAAGTGTGGCACTGGTATAAAGATACCTCAAAATGTGGAAGCAACTTTGGAACTGGGTAATAGTCAGAAGCTGGAACAGTTTGGAGGCATCAGAAGATAAGAACATGCGGGAAAGTTTTGAACTTCCTAGAGACTTGCTGAATAGTTGTAACCAAAATGCTGATAGTGATATTGGTAGTGAAATCCAGGCTGATGTGGTCTCAGATGGAGATGAGGAACTTATTGGGAACTGGAGTAAAGGTCACTCTTGCTATGCTTTAACAGCGACTGGCAGCTTTGTGCCCCTGCCCTAGAGATGTGTGTAACTTTGAACTTGAGAGAGATGACTTAGGGTATCCGGCAGAAGCAATTTCTAAGCAGCAAAGCATTCAAGATGTGACCTGGTTTTTTTCTAAAACTGTATGCTCATATGCATGAAGAAAGAGATGGTGTGAAATTGGAACTTATATTTAAAAGGGAAGCAGAACATATAAATTTGGAAATTTTGCAGGTTGACCATGTGATAGAAAAGACAAACCCATTTTCTGGGGAGAAATTCAAACCATGTGCAGAAATTTACATAAGTGACAAGAAGCCAATGCAAATAGGCAAGACAGTGGGGAAAATGTCTCCCAGGTCATATCAGAGATCTTCACGGCAGCCCCTCCAGTACAGGCCTGGAGGTCTAAGAGGGAAAAATGGTTTCATGGACCAGTACCAAGGCCCCACTACTAAGTGCAGCCTTGGGACGTGGTGCCCTGTCCCCCAGCCGCTCCAGCTCCAGCTCCAGCTGCGGCTGTGGCTAAAAGGGGCCAATATACAACTCGGGACATGGCTTCAGAGGGTGCTAGCTACAAGCCTTGGTGGATTCCACGTGGTGTTGGGTCTGTGAGTACAAAGAAGGCAGAAGTTGAGGTTTGGGAGCCTCCACCTTGATTTCAGAGGATATATGGAAATGCCTGGATGTCTAGGCAAAAGTCTGCTGTGGGGGCAGAGCACTCATATAGAACCTCTACTAGGGAAGTGCAGAGTGGAAAAATGTGGGATTGGGGCCCCCATAGAGGGTCCCCATAAGGGCACTGCCTAATGGAGCTGTGAGAAGAGGGCTATCATCCTCTATACCCCAGAAGGGTAGATCCACTGACAGCTTGCACGTGTGCCTGCAAAAGTCACAGGCACTCGATGCCAGCCTGTGAAAGCAGCTGTGGGGGCTGTATCCTGCAGAGCCATGGGGCAGAGTTGCTGTAGGCCTTAGGAGGCAACCCCTTGCATCAGCATGTCCTGGATGTGAGACATGGAATCAAAGGAGATTGTTTTGGAGTTTTAAGATTTCATTACTTTCTGGCTGGGTTTCAGACTTGCATGGGGCCTATAGCCCCTTTGTTTTGGCTATTTCTCCCATTTGGAACAGCAGCATTTACCCAATGCCTATACTTTCATTGTACCTTTGAAGAAACTAACTTGTTTTTAATTTTACATGCTCATAAGTAGAAGGGACTTGCCTTGTCTCAGATGAGACTCTGGACTTTTGAGTTAATGCTGGAATGAGTTAAGACTTTGGGGGACTGTTGGGAAGGAATGACTGTGTCTTGACATGTGAGAATAATATGAGATTTGGGAGAGGCTGGGGCAAATGATATGGTGTGGCTCTGTGTCCCCACCCAAATCTCAGGTTGAATTGTATAATTCCCTGTGTTGGGGAGGGGGTCCTGTAGGAGGTGATTGGTTCATGGGAGCAAATTTCCCCTTGCTGCTCTCATGATAGTGAGTTCTCACGAGATCTGATGGTTTAAAAATGTGTGGCACATTCCCCTTCACATGCTGTCTCTCCTGTCACCATGTGAAGATGTGCTTGCTTCCCCTTTGCCTTCTGCCATAACTGTAAGATTCCTGAGGCCTCCCCAGCCAAGCTTCCTGTACAGCCTGCAGAAGTGAATCAACTAAACATCATTTCTTTATAAACTACCCAGTCGCAGGTAGTTATTTAGATTAGGGTGAAGACAAACTAATACAGCCTCCTTTAAACTCCTCTGCATTTAGACATCAATCTTCCTCTATCTCATTGTACTTTTTTCCATGTTCCCTATTCTAGGCCATAAACTCCTCCTCTAACAGGCCAAATTTTGCTGATTTTTATATCCCCTATAGCATTCTTAGTACAGTGCTTTGCATACAGTAGAAGTCCACAAATGTTTGTGGGGGTTATAATAAAAAGCTCAGGCAGAACTGTTCTCTGGATTTCTATATATGAAAGCACCCTTCAAAATGCCAAGAAAACATATTAGCCCAGGAATGAATCTCAACCTTATATCATTACTCTTAATCTAATGGTAGTAACATTACTCTAAACATCCTTTTAAAAACTGTTTCATTACAACTATCTATTATAAAGGGGGGATATTTGACAAAGCAATGCTCTAAAATAAATGAGAAAAACAGCCGGGCACAGTGGCTCAAGCCTATAATCCTAGAACTTTGAAAGACTGAGGCAGGCAGACTGAGCTCAGGACTTCAAGACCACCCTGGACAACATGGCGAAACCCTGTCTCTACAAAATATACAAAAATTAGCTGGGTGTGGTGGTGTGCACCTGTAATCCCAGCTACTCAGGAGGCTGAGGCATGAGAATTACTTGAACCCAGGTGGCAGAGGTCGCAGTGAGCTGAGATCATGCCACTTTACTCCAGCCTAGGTGTCAGAGCAAGACTCTGTCTGAAAAGGAAAAAGAGCATGAGAAAAACAGTCTTACTAGGGAAGAAGGTCATCTTTTCCTTAAAAAACAGAAGAGACAGAAGAAGATAGGTGAAAACACAATATCTACAATTGTGGAATGGTAAAAGAATAAATACACAGTTGCCTCACAGTAAAAAGTAGAGAAAATTATTTTAAGATGAAACATCTGGGATGGAAAAGGCTTTCAGATATCTAGTCTAATTCCTTAAGGTCACAAGCAAAGTGATGAGTGAACTTGAAAATATGTAATTTTTATTCTCTCTATAAAGTAGTAATCAAGGCCATCTAATGAGGAAGAAGATAGGCCTTAAGCAGTGTGGTAAAAATGCCAAAAGCGGCAGCTAAGGGGAAATATATTAAAAGTCTGGGATGCATGAACAAAAGGACTGCAGTAAGAGCACCGTGTAATAAAAAGCACAGATGAAGTTAGCACAAATCTGCGGTATCTGCCAGGCACAGTGGTTCACACCTGCAATCCCAGCACTTTGGGAGGTCAAGGCAGGCTGATCACATGAGACCAGGAGTTCAAGACCAGCCTGGCCAACATGGTGAAACCCTGACTACTAAAAATACAAAAATTATCCAGATGTAGTGGCACACACCTGTAATCCCAGCTACTTGGGAGTCTGAGGCATGAGAATTGCTTGAACCTGGGAGGTGGAGGTTGCAGTAAGCTGAGATTGTGCCGCTGCACTCTGGCCTAGGCAACAGAACTAGCATCTGTCTCAAAAACAAAAATTTTTTTTAAGTGGTATCCAAGTAGCACACTCATGTGACTTTTCCCATAAACTCAGCTTCTTTAATTTCAAAGCTCCTTTTCTCACATGGAGAAGAAATCAGTGACACCACAGGTTACCAGAAAATAGCTTTGTATCTATAACTGTGAGAGGCTTTGACAGTTTACATGTAGGAAGTTCCCCAAAACAGGGGTGCTGAGGCACAAGGTATTAAAAACAGATACAGGAAGGACCATGCAACTTCCTTACTCCCACTCTCCATGTTCTCAATTCTTAGTCTCTGTGGGACAGGTCTAGAAATCTCAAAGAAAGATGTTTAGATAGTGGCAATCCTGACACATAAAATAAAACGCCATGAAATTTGAGAGAGAGAGGTAGAAAATTTAGGGATGAGAAAAATGAAGAATGAGCCTTTGGTTTTGAAGTATTTTTATTATCAATTTAACTGTTTATCCACTGATTACCTGAGAATCGGAATAAGATATCTATTACTGTCTTCTAAAAAGCTAATTTTTTTTTTCCAAAGCTATTTTTCACATTTGTCTTTTTGTTTTTTGAGTTGAAGTCTCACTCTGTTGCTGGCTAGAGTGCAGTGGCACCATCTAGGCTCACTGCAACCTCCACCTCCCAGGTTCAAGCGATTCTCCTGCCTTAGCCTCCTGAGTAGCTGGGACTACAGGTGCACGCCACCACACCAGCTAATTTTTGTACTTTTAGTAGAGATGGGGTTTCACCATGTTGGCCAGACTGGTCTCGATATCTTAACCTCATGATCCGCCTGCCTTGGCCTCCCAAAGTGCTGGGATTACAGGCGTGAGCCACTGCACCCAGCCTTTTCACATTTCTTAAAGTACATTCTAAAACCAACTGGCCCTTAATAAGATAACTATAGTAACCATGCAAAGAAGGAATTATCTTCCAGGTACCACAGCCAGAACATCTTAGAGGGCACATCTGTTACAGATAACAGAAGCCAAGGCACAAATTAATCATTCATCATATTTGCTTTAAATTTATACTAGCAATTTGTCTTTTCAAACAAACAGATCTGGTCTCAGGGCATTCCAGCAAAAAAAAGTTAAATATTAACAGTTCTGAAAATTATTCAAAAATATCAGTTTATAATGTACTACTTGGTATACAGATATTAACACTATTTAAAAAATTTTTTAATTTCATCAAAATTTAAAAAAATATCAGTGTATAATGTATTGGTATATGGATCCATATACCAATACATTATACACTGATATTTTTAAGATTTTGATGAAATCTTAAAATTTTTTAAACTTTCGATGAAATTACAAATAAACTTTATTAAAATTTTGACGAAATTACAGATAAACTTAATTACAAATTATTGAAGAAACCATAGAAAAAATTTTATTGCAATTCCAAACGACTTTCAATAATTTTAAAAAAAGGATCAGCCTATATATGCATTTTTTAAAATTAGACGTTTTTTACCCGCAGTGTACTTTATATCAATGTTGTTTTTGAGGTAAGACAACCATAATTCCTAGGAAGTGTTTAATTTGCTTGATCACTAACATGCAAAAATAATGGAAGCAGACTATTATTCTCAAGATGCTACTTATCTAATAGTACATAAAATAATCTTGACAGCAGTTGTTCAACTCTTTCCCATATTAAACATTCTAACATTAAATTATTAAATAGTATTCTGTATTTACTCTAGGTTGAGAGGTTCTCTAAAAAACCCAAAAGATAGCACACTTCTTTAAAAACACAAAATTTTTTAAAAAGGAAGTTGATATGATTTGAATGTGCCCCCAAATTTCCTGTGTTAGAAACTTAATCCCCAAATTCATACAATGATGGTATTTGGTGGCAGGGTCTTTGTGAGGTAATCAGAATTAAATAAGGTCATGGGTTGGGAGTGGGCCATGATGGGATTGGTGGGTTTTGTAAGTAGGGAAGGAGAAACCTGAGGTGGCACCCTCCCGCCCTCTCACCATGTGACTCCCTCCACTATGTTATGATGTAGCTAGCTAGAAGGCCCCCACTAGATGCCAACCCCCCAGTCTTGGACTTCCCAGCATCCAAAACTGTAAGAAATAGTTTTTAAAAATACATTACCAGTTTCAGATATTCTGCTGCAGTAACCGATAATGGACTAAGATACAAGTTTTTGCCTGCTAGCCATTAATAGAAGCTGTGATGTAATTCTGTACTTCTTTATGAATACAGTGAATATGACAATCAGAATAATATATCCACTTTAATATAAAGCTCTTTATGCTTTACATAATTTGGAAACCACATTCTGCCTAGCTCCCAAATATAATGCCCTCAAAAGGATGTAATATTCAAAAAGGTTTTATTTAGGATCTCTGAAACAAACTTAAAGATGGGAGTGTCACTTATATAATCTAGCTCCCATATCTGTCATACTCATCCAGTGTCACAATAAAGAGTATTTAACAATGTAAATAATTCCTAACTCTCCCATTACCCTTAAAGACAGAATTGCATTTCCACCATCTACTGGATCTTTCAATCTGGATATCACAACTAAAACTAAACACTTCTTTTTAAAAACAACCATCATCATTCCTCCTACAGCCTCTCTCTTTAACCTCTTCTCCCTCTCCTGTCTCTCATCTTTACTTATCATTAACATCAATCCAGATACTCAAGCTATGAGCTGAACCATCTATTGCTGGTTTTTTTTAAAGACCAAAAAATTAAATACAATTCAAACTAATAAAAACTTCTCATGAGTATCTCTGACCTGTTTCTCTACCCTGTTTCCCTCATATCCAATCAGTCAAAAAGCCTCAACAATTACACCCTCTTACTGCTCTCTTCTTCCATCCTGTCATTTCCTTTCCTGCTCATTATGTTCTCTATTCCTGTAACAGATCTTTCAATTTTACTGGTCTTCTTATTGTATATCTATAATATTACATGTTATAGATGTACTATATTATCATCTCCAGAAACAACTATGCCCGAAACACAAATCAAAGCTGAAAAGGTCCCATTAATTATAGAATTAAATCTAAACTACTGGCACAGCATTCAGTAATCTTTATGACTTGGCCAGTCTCCACTGGACTACCTGCCATTTCTTAAACAAATCAAACATGCACTTTCAGACCCTTATACCTTCGATCGTACTATTCCTTTAATTTGAAATGTTCTTACTGCCCCTTTACCTACAGAAATCTGTCTCATTCTTCAGTGTCTAGCTTAGGTGCCATCTCCTTGATCCCCTGGTCATAATTAATCTTCTATCATGCTGTCGGCTGATTTGTTACACTATTTTTTTGGCATTTTATCTTATCTGTAATACAGGCATTCATTTTCATATGTTTTCTCCACTAAATTTAAAAGTGCCTGTGGATACTGGGGACATTTAAGTCATCGTCACAATTCTCTAGTCTAGCACATGGCATAATGCCTTGAACACAGTAGGCAATGGCAGGTGGGAGATGAGGAAAACAAATCTGTCAAAAGCCCTGCCTACGCGGAAATTCTAAAGTCATAATCCCTTACTGGAGTCTACTTATCTAGCCAAACTGGAGAATGACTTTCACTCTCCCATTCAAGCTATTTCTCAGCTGCACTGTCCTCCCCCACGGTGGTAGTTTATCTATCACTCTTCTCTTCAAGAAATACCTGTGCCTCCAGGGAGAGCCAAAATTCAACCACCTGAAAGATATCAGCTAAAGACCACCTGTGCCCAAAGTGATGTTTTAAACCTAAAATCACCCAGTATAAAATGTCATTTGATCACATCTAAAACTGAGATAGAAATGTGAGTTTCCCCACTTAAACACCCTAACTTTCTCTAATCTGAACTCCCATAGTATCTGCCGTCTACACAACTTGTTGACACTCAAAGATGATTTGTAAAATGCCTGTTCAGCACGCACCCATTCACAGAAAACACTTAGAGCCTCTCTGTGGGAACTCCTTCTCCCTCAATTCCAACAAGGAAACTATCATTTTCCTTCAAAATAATCTGGCCTACTCATAGTTGATCATTCCATGATAAGCACCCTGAACCAAGCTTTTCAAATATTTTTTTTCACGCTCACACTAACAAATCTTTTTTCTCTGATAACAAAAGATTTATGATGCAAGGTCAAAGAAAGAGTTCTTGTTTATTTGTTTGCTAGATTTTCCAATATTGTGAAGAGCCTGTGTTTAATAAGAAAGAATGAGGCTGAAAGAGACAAACGGATGAAGAGATGGAAATGAAGATTCATGGTAGCATTCAAATCCCTGGTTCCAGATACCCCTGAGATTCCAGTTGCAAGCTATATTTCCCTTAGTTTAGTTGTTCATCGCATCCTTTGATAACCTCTAGACCAGACACAGGAGACCCAGTGAAAAGGTCTCTAGGCCCCATTACAGGTTTAAAAAATTACTGGCCCCTAAAGAACTTCTGTTCTTATAGGTTATAGCTGTCAGTATTTACTGTTTTAGAAATTATAACTGAGAAAATTTTAAATGTTTACAAATTAATTTAAAAAATAACACATAATGGAGTAACTGTTAATGCAGATAACATATTTTTCATGTAAAATATATTCTCCAAAAAAATGTATGAGAAGAGTAGCACCAACTTACATTTTTGTACAAATTTGTAGTATCTAACTTAATAGAAGACAGTTAGATTTTTCTTATCTGTTTCTGTATTCAATATGTTGCTCTATATTGCTTTGGTTCGTAGTATATGAAGAATATTACTTAATACAGTTACTTGTAAGTTAGATGAGATGTATAATCTCACCACATCTATAAACATCTGTACTCTATTCCATTAAAATCCACTGGTCTATCATTTACTGATGCTTATCAAGAGTTGCATCATGCAGTGGTCATCTGAAAAATATATTACTTCACTGAGCTATGCAGATCTTCCAGATATTAACACATTTCATTACAATATCAAAACAGTACATTCCTTCCTTATATATCACCAGTATGCAGTAAAGGATTAATAACTCAGGAGGGCTAGGTTGTTCACACCCTCGATATTCCAAAGAAAAGGGTTGGCCCTTGCCCACCTCCTGGGAGTTAACCTCTAAGTCACTGAAATATCCTGCTTAATAAAAATATCCTTTGTTTACTGAAAACCTGGAGCCACACCATTCAGATTATACTAACAATGTAATTTATGGTAGGGGCCTTGGTCCATGTAATATCAGTCTGACCTCTGGAGTCAAAACAGATGGAGTTACTAAAGTCAGCAATGTGGGCACCTTAGGCCTTAAAATCCCTGGACACCAAGACTCTAGTGAGTTCTCCTGGTTGGTAAAATTTGACATGTGTTGTCACATACTGTTGCTGGGAAGATTAAGCACTGTCCCTATGACTCCCCTGGGAGAGAGCAACTGGAAGCTTGCATCTAGTCTCTGCTGGACTCTGCCCTATGCACCTCTTTTGATTGCTGAATTTAAACTGCAACCTTTTGCTATAATAAACTATCACTGTGAGTATAACAGTTTTGCCATGTTCTGTTAGTCCTTCTAGCAAATCACTGAACCTGAGAGTGGTCTCAGAGACTTCTGACAACCATCAGTCTCATCCGAAAATTCATTAAGTATTTGAGAAGCCCTCAAAGTCACAGTTGCAAATACAAGGACTCCAAAATTCTAATTTTTGCTTGAAAATTTAAATATTGCCTGAAAGCACCAAATACTGCCAGTTTTTGTTTCCTTGAAGTGACAGGCTCACTTAGTTCTTTTTCAAGAAAATGTCTGCCATGTACTGAAGTCTAAATAACCATAGTTTGTCAGTTTTTTTTCAAAGTAAAACTAATGTGCCATAAAAGAAGTGGCTAGTTCAGCTATCAACTCAGTAATTGCATAACTACTTTTTCTAAGGATACTGCACTTCAGGATATAGCATGATGTGTTCTTTCAACTCTCAGAATGCTAAAAGGAGATATACTCAATGATTGCAGCTTAATAAATTAATTTTTACTGTTCTATCAAAGACATTCTTAACTGGAACTGGTTTTTTTCCTGCAGCTATGTGGCAGCAAAGAATACAGTAATTACTAGTATAGTTTGATGCATAAATTACTTGATAATTATTTGGTACATTAATGCAATTACTACATTAATTTATACTAAGGCATCAGAAGTTTTTGCTTTACACCATAGTGCAAGTGTCAAAAAAGTGAAAATGGTAAATAATGCATTAATATTATGAAAATTATTTGACTTTACAGACCTCTTGAAAGGGCATCAGGAAAACCCATGGTCTGGAACTCTACTGAAGGCTAAGAAGAAACTATCAATAGCAGGAAAGCCATTCCAACCACTTTCTTGAACAATCTTAACTAAGTCTGTCAGTGCCTACATGAAAGACAAGATCATCACCAATATTGTAACCAACATTTTAATTCCTTCCTACTTCTTTATTCAAAGCCTACTTAGCCTCCATTAGTTGTAAATTTTTGGTGGCCACTGTTTGTAAATAAGATCAATTCTGTCATTAAAAAAAAACTCTGGAAATAAGTTATTTCTAAATAATGTATTAATACAACTCTATATTCTATTGATATATTTCAAATTTAACTTTCTAGCTTTGCATCTTTCCTTCGGTTACAAATATTTTGATGATAAATTCCAGTCTCTCTTGATTAGTAATTTTTCTTTAGATGAATCATGCATTTAAGGAATTCTTCTTTAATATTCCTTATTTTCTTCTTGATAGTTTGCTATGATCCTCATCTTTAACACAATTTAGTAAATTATTTAGGCATATCTTACATATAACTTAAAGTTATTCACAAAGAAATTAACCTCAAAGGCCAGGCACAGTGGCTCATGCCTGTAATCCCAGCACTTTGGGAGGCCAAGGAGGGCAGATCACCTGAGGTCGTCAGTTCGAGACCAGCCTGACCAACGTGGTCAAACCCCATCTCCACTGAAAATACAAAATTAGCCGGGCATGGTGGCATATGCCTGTAATCCCAGCTACTCAGGAGGCTGAGGCAGAATATCTGCTTGAACCCAGGAGGTGGAGGGAAGCCACTATTGCACCACTGCACTCCAGCCTGGGCAACAAGAGGGAAACTCCATATTTAAAAAAAAAAAGAAAGAAAAGAAAAAAAGAAATGAACCTCAAAGCAGTCAATTATTACCTAAATTACCTTCAAAAGCAACAAGCTGCTTGACAGAAGTCAAGCACCAGCCAATAACAGAAGTCTTTCCTGTAGTTAAAACATTACCTCTCCTTCCTCTTTTTCCCGGTAAAGCCCTGCCTTCAAGTCACCCAACAAGTAGAAGCTTTCAACTAGCACATACACATAAAACTTAGAAAAGCATCTTATCACATATAAAAATTTAATGTATAATATAAGGCATATCACAAAAAATATTCAACAAATATTGCTGCAACATTCAGTTCGATGCTTGGAAAGTAATCAACTTAGAATCCCAAACCATGCCAAATTAAATGTCAAACAAGTTAAAGTACTATTTTTTTAAAATAGTATAAAAACTATAGGTGTATGTATAAAATACTGATATATATTATAATCTTTGCTTAAAAGCCAAAACAAAAACCAAAGTCAAAGAAATATACAAAGACTGAGATATGACAGCACAAACCATGGGTGAAAACAGGCAAAATACAAGATGTGTATGTGTTCACATAACACAAGAAAGGATCGTCATTGTGGCTGTTTTCAGTATCATAAGATTAGGTAAACTCACCTAATCACTAGAAATAAGAGTAAATAAATTATGTACATCCAACAGAAAACTGTGGCTACTTAAAAGAGTAAAGCAGTTTAAATATTCACAAATACACCGTGTGTATTACTACACACTTATCTTCAAATCTTTGCATAAAAATCTCACTCAGTGAGTCCTAATCTTGACCACCCTATTTAAAATGGCAACTTCTTCTCTGGTATTGCCAGTGCCCTATTATCCTACCTGATTACTTTTTCCTTTTTGCAGTAGCATTTACTGTCTTCTATACTATTTATTTACGTACTTATATTTATTACATGTCTCCTCCAAGCAAAATATAACCTACAGAGCAACAGTTATCTTAATCTGTTTATTCATTTATCTTAAGCACCTAAAATAAAATAGTGCCTGGGATAAGACAGGTTCTAGAAATTTCATCTATTAAATAAATCAATATACACAGAAGTAGTAAACAACTGACCCTAAAAAGTCTAACTGGAAAACAGAGTCAGTGGCAGAAAAAGATCTTTTTAATTAAAGAGTACCTTTATTTATATGTTGTATTTTTTCCCTGTATGAAAATATACATTGCCTATTAGAAAACTTAACAATCTATGCATTGCTTAAAGACAGGGATACATTCTAAGAAATGTGTCTTTAGGCAATTTCATCATTGTGCAGACATCATAAAGTATATGTACACGAATCTGAAGCATGCAAAAGTTTTGTGATTAAGGTGATCTAACCGCACTCTATCTGCTTAACAGAAGAGACGCTAAGCCATCCTCTATAGCAAATGATCATTCGGATAACCTATAATACAAAATTGTCAAACGCAATGTCTGACGTTTAACTAAAATGTAACACATGCCAAGAGATAGTATACAAGAAAACAAACAAAGTAAGACAGATTCTGGAAATTTCATCCATTAAATAAATCAATATACACAGAAGTAAAAGTAAATATAGGAAACAAAGATATATAATATAAAACGTCAGAAAAAAAGATCAAAAGTTGGTTCTTGGAGAGAAAGAGTTAACATTCTGTTAAGACTGATCAAAGAAGAAAAAGTCACAAATTATCCATTTTGGAGCCACAGGGGAATACAATTTAAAATTACAAACAGAAGGCTGTAACAGTTATTCAAGAAAACATAGGAAAAGACAAAATAAAAATAAAGATGGAATTTAACCATGAAATTTGAATATTTAAAAAGTAATCAAATTTATAAAATTAACAGCTAAACATAATATTAACAGCAGATTGGGCGTATTTTTAAGAAGCTAATAATTTGAAAAGTTTCATAGAAAATACACTCACTAGAGCATAAAAAGAAAACAAGGTATCTTTTTCAGAATACAGAAAAGTGGTATCTGTCAAACGGTAACGCAGAAATAAAGAAAGTACAGAAAAGAATACAGAAGATGAATGGACCCAGCAATCCCATTACTGGGTATATACTCAAAGGATTACGAATCATTCTATTATAAGACAGATGCACACATGTGTTCACTGCGGCATTGTTTACAATAGCAAAGACTTGGAATTAACCCAAATGCCCATCAATGATAGACTGGATAAAGAAAATGTGGCACATATACACCATGGAATACTATGCAGCAATAAAAAGGATGAGTTCACGTCCTTTGCAGGGACATGGATGAAACTGGAAACCATCATTCTCAGTAAACTGATACAAGAACAGAGAACCAAATACCACATGTTCTCACTCATAAGTGGGTGTTGAACAATGAGAGCACATGGACACAAGGAGGGGAACATCACACACTGGGCCTGTTGGGGGTTGGGATGGCTAGGGGAGGGATAGCGGGGGGTGGGGGGTAGAGGAGGGATAGCAGGGGTGGGGGGGTACGGGAGGGATAGCGGGGGGTGGGGGGTTGAGGAGGGATAGCAGGGGTGGGGGGGTACGGGAGGGATAGCAGCTGGTCGGAGGATTGGGGAGGGATAACTTTAGAAGAAATACCTAATATAGATGACAAGGGGATGGATGCAGCAAACCTCCATGGTATGTGTACACTTATGTTAACAGTCCTGCATAATCTGTACATGTACCCCAGAGCTTACAGTATAATATAAAAAATAAAATTAAAAAAAAGAAAACGTTTTCATTAATATGCACAACGTATTACCCCCAAAAAACAAAGATGAATGGGACATTGTTTTTTAAAAGTGGCTAACTGGCTGAGCAAGGTGACTCACACCTGTTATCTGAACACTTCGGGAGGCTGCCAAGGGAGGATACTTGAAACCAGAGTTCAAGACCAGCCTGGGCAACAAAGCAAGGCTGTCATCTCTACGAAAAAGGTTTTCTAAAACAAATAAGCTGTGCACAGTGGTGCACACCTATAGTCCCCAGCTACTCAGGAGACTGAGTCAAGAAGACTGCTTGAGCCTAGGAATTCAAGGATGCAGTAAGTTATGATCATACCAATTGCACTCCAGCCTGAGTGACAGAGTGAGACCCTGTCTCAAAAAAAGGGGAGGTGGTGGGAGGGTAAATATACATGTACAGTAGCAGAAAGAAGGAATGGAGAATAGAACAAAAGCAAAATATGAAGAAAAATGGTCAAGAATTTTCCAAACTCAATGAAAAATATTAAGGGCAAAGATTCAAGGATTTCTAATCTCCAGCAAGAATTTTTTTTTTAAGGCCACATATAGGCATATTGTAGTAAAGATGCTAAAAATTAAAGGCAAGACTAAATTCTTTTTTCAACTTTTATTCTAAGTTTAGGGGTGCATGTGCAGGATTGTTACATAGGTAAATGTGTGTCATGGGAGTCTGTCATACAGATTATTTCAACACCCAGATATTAAGCCTAGTACCCATTTGTTATTTTTCCTGATCCTCTCCTTCCTCCCACCCTCCACCCTCAATTAGGCCCTAGTGTTATTCCCCTCTATGTGTCCATGTGTTCTCATCATTCAGCTCCCACTTATAAGTGAGAACATGCAGTATTTGATTTTCCGTTACTGTAGTTTGCTGAGGATAATGGCTTCCAGCTCCATGAATGACCATGCAAAAGGGCATAATCTTGTTCTCTGTAATGGCTGCATAGTATTCCATGGTATATGTACCACATTTTCTTTAACCATTCTATTACTGATGGGCATTTAGGCTGATTCCATGTCTTTGCTATCATAAATAGTGCTGCAATGAACATACATGTCTTTATAATAGAGTGATTTATATTCCTTTGGTTATATACCCAGTAATGGGATTATTGGGTTGAATGGTATTTCTGTCTTTAAGGCCTTTGAGGAATGGCTACACAGTTTTCCACAACCATTGAGCTAATTTACACTCCCACCAAGAGTGTATAAGCATTTCATTTTCTCCACAACCTCACCAGCATCTGTGATTTTCTGAACTTTTAATAACAGCCATGCTGACTGGTGTGAGATGGTATCTGATTGTGGCTTTGATTTGCATTTCTCTAATGATCAGTGGTTTTGAGCTTTGTTTCATCTGATTGTTGCCCACATGTATGTCTTCTTTTGAAACATGTCTCTTTATGTCCTTTGCCCACACTTTAATGGATTATTTTCCTTGTAAATTTGAGTTAATTTTTGTATATGGTGTAAGGAAAGGATCCACTTTCAATCTTCTGCATATGGGTAGCCAGTTCTCAACACCATTTATTGAATGCTGCTTTCCCTGTTGCTTCTGTCAAGTTTGTCAAAAATCAGATAGTTGTAGGTGTGTAATCTTATTTCTAGGTTCTCTAACCTGTTCCATTGGTCTATGTGTCTGTTCTTGTACCAGTACCATGCTATTTTGATTACAGGTATCCTGTGATATACTTTGAAGTTGGGTAACATGATGCCCACAGTTTTGTTCTTTGGCAAGACTAAATCTTAAAAGCAGTCAAATCAGAAGACATTGTATTTAAAGAAACAGCAATAGCATTTTTTGCTAACTTTGCAACAAAAATACTGGAAAGCAGAGAGAATGGAGTATCTTCAAATTTCTGAAAGAAAATAACTGTGAATCTAGAATCTAATGCACAGAGACGATATTCTTCAAAAACAAAAACAAGTACATTTTCAGATAAAGTGTATTTGACAACTGACATTTACCAAAAAAAAAAAAAAAAAGTACTAAAAGAAGTTCTGTAGGCCAAAAAAAAAAGAGATTAAAAAGTTTCTATCCTACAGAAAAGAATGGAAATGCAGCATAAAGAGCATCATAAAGAGTAAATATATGGGTAAACAAACACTGACAAGCAATAATATCTGAGTATTAAAACATAATACAATAGGCTGGCCACAGTTCCTGCCTGTAATCCCAGCATTTTGGTAGGCCACTTGAGGTCAGGAGTTTAAGACCAGCCTCCCCAACATGGTGAAACCCCACCTCTACTAAAAATACAAAAATTAGCTGGGTGTGGTGACACAATCCCAGCCACTTGGAAGGCTGCGGCAGAAGAACTGCATGAACCCATAAGGCAGAGGTTGCAGTGAGCTGAGATCGTGCCACTGCACTCCAGCCTGGGCAACAGAGCAAAACTTCATGTCAAATAAAAAAAAGAAAAAGTGTATAATAAACATGCAAAGCAATAATGTAAAAACCAGAAAGATAAGTGAAGTTCAGATGCTGTAAGTTCCTAGCATTGTCAGGGAAGCAGTAAACGTAAATATTTTCAGCAGACTGTAATAAGCCAATGATACATATTGTGATCTTTAGGACAACCACTAAAAGCCTAAGATGTCAGGCTATATAAAACAATAAAACCCACTTATATTTTTAACATAAGAACAAAGAAAGGTTGAAAGTAAACGAACACAAAAAGTTTTACCATAATAGCACTAATCAAAAGAAAACTGATGTGAGATAAACTAGATTTTAAGACAAGAAATATCAGCCGGGCATGGTGGCTCACGCCTCTAATCCCAGCAGTTTGGGAGGCCGAGCCGGATGGACCACCTGAGGTAAGGAGTTCGACATCAGCCATGGTCAACATGGTGAAACCCTGACTCTACTAAAAATACGAAAGTTAGCTGGGTGTGGTGGTGGGTACCTGAAATCCTGGCTACTCAGGAGGCTGAGACAAGAGAATCACTCGAACCTAGAAGATGAAGTTTGCAGTGAGCCAAGACTGTGCCACTGCAGTGTAGCCTGGGTGACAAGAGCAAAACTTCATCTCAAAAAGAAAAAAAATAAAGACAAGAAGTAACAAAGATAAGAGACATTTCATAATAGTACAAGAACCAATTCATTAGAAAAATATAAAGCAAAATTAAAACTATACATAGTTCTACACAGATAAATCCCCTAAAATAGATAAATCCACACTAGGAGGATGGGAAACTACATTATTTCTTTCAATAGTTTATTTTAAAAGTAGATAAAAATCAGTGAACATATAAAAGATATAACCAAGATTCATAAATATAACTGACCTATGAAGAAAACTACATCTAATAAAAGTGTATGTGTATGCATGTATTCCTTTCAAGTGAACATAGAACATTCATCCAAAACCATATGCTGAATCAAAAAGCAAGCCTCATTTCAAAGGACAGAAATCATTCAGAGTATGTTCTCTCAAGAGAACTAATCAAGAAATTACGTGGCCAGACGCAGTGGCTCACGCCTGTAATCCCAACACTTTGGGAGTCCGAGGAAGGCAGAACATAAGGCCAGGGGTTCGAGACCAGCCTGGCCAACACGGTGAAACTCCTGTCACTACAAAAAATAAAAAATTAGCTGGGCGTCATGGGGGGCACCCATAGTCCCAGCTACACAGGAGGCTGAGGCAGGAGAATTGCTTGAACCCAAGAGGCGGAGGTTGCAGTGAGCCAAGATCACACCACTGCACTCCAGTCTGGTGACAGAGTGAGACTCCATCTCAAAAAAAAAAAAAAAAAGAAATTACTAACCCCTAAAATATTGTAAAATTGTCATCTATTTGGAAATATGTCTTCACAATATGCTTGTGAAGAAATCAAATGCATATAAGTCATATAATAAATTGCGACATGTAGCTGAAGTTATGCTTAGAAGGAAATCTGTAACCTTAAATGATTATATTAAAAAGAAGACTGAGAAGAATTATTTAAGTATCTACTCAAGAAATTAGAAAAGACAAAAGGGTAAACCTGAAAAGGCAGAAAGAAAATAGGACAGAATTAATGAAATCAAAAGCAAAGGTACAACATAAGACTTCAACAAATGAAAAATTGGGTCTTGGGAAGATTAACAAAATTGGTAGACTAGAGGAAGGCTGAACAAATGAAAAAGGTCACAAAATATCAATTTCAGTAGTGAAAAAGAGACAGGTCTTACTGAAGGACAATCAGTCATGCTATTATACATTAAGAATTAATGCAAGGATAGACAAATAGACCAATGGGACAGAGTGAGATGTAACAAACACACATCTATTGCCATTGATTCATGACCATGGTAAGCCTTTTTAAAAAGTGTGAGCTTTTCACTTGATGGAAATGGGTCAACTAGATACCCACATGTTTTTAAAATGAATCTTGACCTCTTCCTTGCTCCATTCACAAAAATCAATTCCACATGTATATTACATCTAAAAGAAAAAGATAAAATAATAAAGCTTCTAGAAAAAAACCGCAGGCAAATATATTCATCTCCTTGGAGCAGGCAAAGATTTCTCAAACATGACTCAAAAAACCTCAACCTGTGTATGATTCAAGTTTATCACATAAAACTGAAAAAATCAGCAATAATCTGGGATGTAAGAAGTTAGAAATCTGTTTATTCGGTAAGAGGTAGTTGTGTATTAGGCAGAAAGCAGGCACAAAAAGACATCTAGGATGATGGTAACATTCTACGGTTCTTTATGTATGGATTACATAGGTACATGCACTTGTTAAAATTCATTGTGCTGAACACTTAGAACGCCATGCTTTATGTGTGTTACACTTCAACCACAAAGAGAAAAACTGACAAAATTAATTTCTGGTCAAAAAAAAAAAAAAGTACAAAATTGAAGATTTCTCTAAGATATATATACTGATCAAAGGACTCACAGCCAAGACGCAGAATAACCAGAAATACAAAAAAAAAAAAAAAAAAAAAGACAAACCAATAGAAAACTGGACAAAAGGCCTGAACAGCCACTTGAACAGAGGTTACAGAAATGACCAATAAACATGTGAAAAGATACACATTTCCATTAGTTAACACATCAAGAAAATAAAAACTAAAACCACATGAGCCATTACACTACCAACCCACCGAAATCACTACAATGAAAAGAGTAAACAATACTAAGTGTTCACAAGAATGTAGAGCAACTAGAATTCTCACACATTGCTACTCAGAATTTAAATGGGTACAAACGCTTTGCAAAACTATTCTAAGTTTTGCAAAGACCTAAGCTTATTATATGAACATCCTATGACCCAGCAATTCTAATTGTAGGTGTATAACATAAATGTCTATATATGTTCATCAAAAGTCATTATCAGAAAATTCACAGTAATGCTATTTGTAATAGTCAAACTAGACACAACCTAAATGTCATATCCATCACTAATAGAACAGAATAATATACTGCTGGTATATAGTCACAATGTAACACCAGCAATGGAGATGAGTGAAATAGTGCTACATGCAACAAAATGAATAAATCTCATAAATATAACAAAGTTAATAAAGTAACACACAAAAGAATAGATATTTGCTGGGTGCAGTGGCTCATGCTTGTAATCAGGAGGCTGAGGCAGGCAGATCACCTGAGGTCAGGAGTTCAAGACCAGCCTGACCAACATGGTGAAACCCTGTCTCTACTGAAAATACAGAATTAGCGGAGCGTAGTGGTACATGCCTGTAATCCCAGCTATTCAAGAGGCTGAGGCAGGACAATCACTTGAACCCAGGAGGCAGAGGTTGCGGTGAGCTGAGATTGTGCCATTGCACTCCAGTCTGGGCAACAAGGGCAAAACTCTTTCTTCAAAAAAAAAAAAAAAAAAAAAAGAATAGATATTAAAGTTGAGTATCCCTCATCTGAAAATTTGAAATCCAAAATGCTCCAAAATCTGAAATTGTTAGAACCACAATGACGCCCAAAGGAAATGCTCACTGGAGTATTTGGATTTCAGATTAGGGATGCTCAACTGGTATAATGGAAATAAAGTCCAAAAAAAATACAAACTCTGAAACATTTCTGCTCCTAAGCATTAGGGAAAATGCAACCTGTATATAACTCAATCATATCATATAAAATTCAAAAAGTCATTAATAATCTAGGATATAAGAAGTTAAAATTTTGTTTTTTTGGGAAGAGGTTGTGTGCATATTAGGCAGAAAGCAGGCACAAAAAGACATCTAAGATGCTGATTATATTCTGGGGTTCTTTAAGTACGGATTACACAGGTACATCCACTTGTTAAAATTCAGTGTGCTGAGCACTCAAGATACTAAGCTTTATTGTGTTATACTTCAATAAAAAGTATACTCAAGGAAAAAAAAGTAATTCTAAATACAGAAAAACTATACTAAAACTTTCAACACTAAAGGGAGCACGCTTTAAAATATTCATGTGCATATTATATATAATTGTACATATATATAAAAATTGTATCTACATTAAACACCTGAAAACAATGCACTGTCTAGCTGTTACCATCTCCATCATCTGTTATATTATCTTAGACTTAATCTCCCTTAACCCCCAAATACTGCCAAATACTTGTAGAGGCTACAACTGTGATAACCTGAAAACGCACATATGTCCTGTTCAGCAGCCTAAGACTCAGTGGTCACTACTAACAGCTGAGTCATTGGGTGAATCAGAGCCAGGACTTAGCCCTGCCTCATCTTTTCTGCCTTTCCATGACTAACATCTCATGCCCACTGAGGTCAGAGACAGGACAGAAATTTAAGCATATGCCTCTTTGGCATATGTAGTTTTATACCTCTCAGGATTTTGTCACCATTTTTTCATTTTCTCTGTTCATTATGTAAACTTTAATCATATACTTATCTTTTAAACTTTTTCAATAGAAAACAAATGTGAATATTTTCATCTAAAAAGCTCTTGCATCCTCAACTACTATAGGCATTATTCTAAAACTCATTTAAACATCCTTACAACAAAATCATTAGAATTGTAGATAAGATCTTAAAAATAACTGCATAAGACTGGGTGCAGTGGCTCACGCCTATAATCCCAGAACTTTGGGAGGCCAAGGTGAGCAGATCACCAGAGCAAGAGATAGAGACCATCCTGGCCAAGGTGAAACCCCTTCTCTACTAAAAATACAAAAATTAGTTGGGCGTGGTAGTGTGCGCCTACAGTCCCAGCTACTTGTAAGGCTGAGGCAGGAGGATCACTTGAACCTGGGAGGCGGAGGTTGCAGCTCCACTGCACTCCAGCCTGGTGACAGAACGAGGCTCCGTCTCTAAATAAATAAATAAATAAAGATTTCATCCAAAACTTTATCCTGTTTCAACCATATTTCTATCATTAGTAAGTAGGATAAGCTTCCCAGCTAAGGAAGCTTTCTTGTAATCTATCTAAACTCTTTTTAATATTTTTTTGAGACAGGATCTTGCTAGGTTGCCCAGGCTGGTCTCAAACTCCTAGCCTCAGGCAGTCCTCCCACCTCAGCCTCCCAAGTAGCCAGGATTATAGGCAGGAGCCATGATGCCCAGCTTATGAGACATGTTGTTACCCAAGTGAGAATGCAGTAGCAAGATCACAACTCACTGTAACCTCAAACGCCTGGCTCAAGTGATCTTCTACCCCAGCCTCCCAAGTAGCTGGGACCACAGGTGTGCCACCACCATGCCCTATTAAACTTTTTATTTTTATTTTTTGTAGGGACAGGGTCTCCCTATGTTGCTCAGGCTAGTATTAAACTCCTGGGCTCATGCAGTCCTCTCTCCTTTGGCCTTCCAAAGGGCTGGGATTGCAGGCATGAGCTGTACTCAGCACCCAGCTTAACTCTTAATAAGCAACACTAAATATCTATTTATTTTTGTTTTACTGGTCATCTCTTGGCCATATATTATAGTGTCCAAAGGAAAAAATTTACAAGAAAACAGTATACTCCTTAGCATTGTTGCCTCTATTAACACACCATTCACTTTTGCATACTGATTTATTCTTTCAACATCTATATAGGTTTCTGACTCCTGTATCAGTTCACATTAATATCACACCTACCACCAGAAAGCAGGTGTCAAACGTTTTCATTCCTTGTAAGAACCAGATACAGTGCTCACTTCTGCAGCACTGTATATACTAACAACTGGAATGATAATAGAGAAAAGATCAACATGACCCCTGCTCAAGGATGACATGCCAATTTGTGAAGCATTCCATATTTTTTTGGCACTCTTACCCCCCACACACAAAAGGTTAACTATGGGAGATGAGGGATATGTTAATTTACTTGGTTATGGTAATTACTTCACTGCATATATGCACACCAAAACATTATGTTGTATACCTTACACATAGAAATAAAAAAAGAAAAAAGAACTATAAACAAACCTTATACGTGAGTACTTTATTATAGCCTTTTTGGTAACTATAAAACATCAGCATCACTGT